AGCGTGCAAAAGAGAATATTAAAAAACAGACAAGAAAATGAAAACAGGAATTTTAGTATTAGAGGGAACAATTCTGTGACTTTTGGTTACTGGCATATTAATACATTGCACGAGAGTAAATTGAAATATTCCAAATGGTCAAAGCTGAAATATGTAAATAGAACATGACCACAAATGTATCAGCCTTTATTCAATCATAAATAAATGTAATAATAAATGCAGTATTTAGAGTGACCTAATGTTGCCGGTGATAGTATTGACGACAGGATAAGCCTTTAATAATGATAATAATAATAAACTTATTTAGTTGGGTTAGGATAATAAAGTTTGACAACAGCATAGCAGCAGCGACAGTGAGGAGGACACTTCCTGTATACGAACCAAACTCCACTTCAAACTTATAATATCACAATTTGATTAAAGAAAACTACCAGTAAAATTGCTTTTTTTTGTAAATCCATTACTTTTAAACGTAATACTTGCAATCGGACGTAACCGACCACTACCGTAAAGGCTAATTTAACGCTCACGGCAATTAATACCTGACGACACGGCGTTTTCTCGCGAGAGCGTCAAAAATCGGCAATTGAAACTCTTAACATGTCGTCAGTGACGTTTAACGGATATGAAAACAGACTGCACACATACCTGAATGGTTCAACAGCTACATGGCGACACGTTTGGTTAGAATGGAGAGAAGGCAGTTTTCTTCGGCAGCTCAACTCCTCCTCAGCGGAAGTGTCTCCGTCTCTACTGACGTGACGTCTGTCGTATCCGGGTCTCATGTATCAGTGTCGCTACGGTGTTAGTTAAGTTGCTACAGCGACGTCAGTCTGGCAATAACCGGCGGTTAAAATGTGAGTACTTGCCCCAAAAAACCTCTCAGAAATGTGTGTTTGCTTCCTGGTGAAGTCATACAGTTAAAGTGCCCCCACAAAGAGTAGAGAAATTACATTGACTTCATTGGCGTTTGTCTTTACTCCACCCAGGGCTGTGTGTAGGGCTGTAGATGTCTCCAAATACAAATGATACCGATATATCATTATATCGCTGATATCCGCTAAAATTCACCATACATTCAAATGTAATGCTTAGGTATGTAACAGAATTAGTGTTTTTATGCGCATTTATTCACCTCTAAGTAAAATGTGTTTTCAATTATATAGATGATTTATTCTGATTTTTCCCCCACCCCCAAAAATGCTCTAATTTGATGAGAAACATGCAGAAAAGATGACTGCATAATAAACATGCGAAATTTCTAAAAAAAAAGAAAAAACTCAAAATGCTCCAATTTGATAAGAAACAAAATTTCTTTTCAATTTTTTTAACATCTGACCAAAAATGACAAATAAATTAAAATGTTTTAACTTGATGAGAAGCATGTATTTTAAAAGTTTAATATACAAAACCTTCAATTACATGCTCGTTCGTTCACATGTTCCTTAGAAATGTCAAGTAACTGAAATTGGTATGCATGTACCTGTGGTTGTGAGTGGCAGTCTTGCCTTGGTAACTTTTTTTTAGCTGCATTTCCCTGCTGATTGAAAAGAGTAGTGCATATCCTCTGTAAGTGGTTACAATCGTCAGGACGGATGCTTTCTTTTGTTTCTTACACTAAGGTTAACGAAAGCTATTTAGCCGATTTAGCCACACACACCCTTTACGTTACTTGCTCGGAAGGGTTTTAACTATACAATATTGTGAGTTTACGAGGAAAAAAACAACAATAATGTTATTTCTAAAGAAAACGTCATAGATATAGAATGGGGGAAAGATTTTAATTCTTAAAAGTATGTTTCACAAATCCATCTGGCTCTTGTCAGAAAAAGGAATGTTAGAACAACTAGCATGTGACCTCTCTGAATCATTAACCTCCACCTAAATTACATACATTGACAATGGCAGAAATTTACAATCACAAAAAGTGCATTTTACCTGAAAATGGTGGCTACGCCAGCAGGGATTGTTTATTGCAATGTATTTACAATGTAGACAATAAGAAAACAAACACGGTGGTTAAGTAGAACCCTTTCCCACAGACAAAGGGTCAGGCAACACTAATGATCAAAATTGAGTCATTAAAAGGTCTCACCAAATAGTGAATTTTTTTTTTTAAATAAACCAGTGATCGTGTCAAAGACAAGTTATATGTATTAACGTGTGAAAAAACAGTACTGAGATAATGTAAGACTGACCCCAAACAAATAGTAGGAAAAAAAAAACACCATCTGATTGTTCATAAACAGAAGACATAAATGTACCAAACTAATATCACCGAGTTAAAATTTCACAGAACCCCTTTGATTTAGCCATTATAAAATTAATCAAATAAATATTCAGCTGTATGTTCGATAAAAACCAGGTTAGGCTCATATTACAGTACAAAATTCAAACAATCTTTACTTTTCATCCTTCTGGTAAGAAATCTTGAATAAAAATAAATCCAGATTATGACAGAAAAGTCAAAAATGAATTAAAAATAGAGTTGTTGAGTCCACTCTTTATTGAACAAAATAAAAATCCTTTAAAAGAAAGATGTTTTAAAACACAGCCTTCTCTACGAGGCAAAAAAATTAAAATGTGCAAAATTTTAACAGGCAAAAGATGTTGACTCATATCAACCACCAAAGTGTGTCCTACGAGGTGTGTGAGGTTTAGCAGGTCACAGTTGTGGTGATTCCTGAAGCTGACAAAACCAAAAAAATCAACCTGACACGTGAGGAAGACGGAGGACATTGACACGACAACATCAGAGGCAGTCCAGAGCCACAGTCTATTATTTCTGAAAATGTCCTGAGGAGGGGAGAGAAGAGAAGGACGGGGGCAGTGGGGTGGTTACCGTGTGGGCTGTATCATTACGGTGCTGCTGTTTTATTGGCCATGGCAAAGTTTTGTTGAAGCACTACAAGGGAGCTGCGGAGCTGTGAAGAGAAGAAGAGTAAAATGACTCAGTTGCTGCAGGGGAGCTTTCAGTTCTGGTGAAAATGTTTGACCACTTATTAAAAAACATCTCCACATACACAATCTGAAGACATGCACATGTGCAGTTAACTGCTTGGTTAACTTTCTTAAAGATGTGAAACGAACATTAATGAAATAATTTGTCATTTGGTGAAGAACATCACTTATTGGAGTTTGACACTGGGGACACAAAGCTAAACTGTTTTCTGTGTTTCCTTCAGCGCAACATTTGTCAGAAGTGTGACAGCAGAGAAGAGCCATCTGACAGCAGCAGAAGGACAGAAGACCGAGGACAAGAGGAGTTCACGGCAGCAGGAGGAGGAAGAATTCTCCCTTGAACTTCTGTTTGATTCAACCGTTTGACCCAGAACTGGTCATCAATCACCAAAAGTACTAGGAATAGGACTGCTACATTTCTCCTCTTTCACAGTTTCCACAGGCCCGTACTGTGTTTTCAACCTTGAATTACCAAACGCTTTCTTTAAGGTATGTTTACATGTATTTAAGTCACACAATAATAGTAATAATAATAATAATAGGTCATATGAATTTTTGCAGATATTAAAGTCACTTCCTGTTGTTTTTCTGTTGTGACCCAGCTTCTCACCTCTCACCTGGAGCCACCTGTTGGAACATAAGCTCCTGTTCTCTTCAGTGACCTCTGTCCTGCTCACATTAACGAAGCCCAGCTTTAGCTTCGATCAACCGTGGCGTCAACATGACACCCAGGTACCTGACATGTGACACACACACACACACACACTGTGGACACAGCTGCCACCTGTTCATCACTGCACTAAAACCACAGCATCAGTGTCTCTAAAAAACATTTGGTGTCATCTGAGGTGACAGCACAGGTCCAGCTAGGACTAACAGAGACAGAGAGAGTGGATGTGACAGTGATGAGAACCATGTTTAGAACAGATCAACTCACCTGCTCTAAAAGATTGATGGAATCCTGTAGAACTGTTTTCAGCAGGTACATCTCATCTTTAGTCCTAAACTCTGGTCCCCGTCTGGATCCATACTCAGAGGCCAAGCTGTCAAACAATGTGGACAGAGACAGTTGAACTATAATGATTACACAATGATTACACAACATTATCGGTGGATGAAAGGTTGTGTCTCAAACCACCTCCTCTATTGGGAGATGGTTTCGCCAGATTGACGTTGCTGGCTTCCTTCCTTCTCAAATCAACCCCCTCCCTGACAACAAGATGACAGTTTCCTTTTAAACTTGTCACATAGCAGAATATGAACTGACCTGGACTCGCTCCTCTCCTTTAGTCGATGTTTTGTGCTCAAGTACATGCGGTGGGCCACTTCCTCCATCGCTGACAGCTTAAAAAACAGGCCCAGGTTCAGCACAGTGAGAAAGAAGAGGCTGAAGGAAAGAGGAGCGACACATTTACACACAACCTCTGAAATACAGACGTTTAATCCATGTACGTTCAGAGTAAACCCTGGTTGTTTACTCACATCAGACTCATCACAGCGACTATTGTGGTTGTGTTCCATCTTTGAGATCCATTCATTTCCATGGGGCCTGGAATACAATAGATGAGACAAATAACCCATAGATTATTGGCTTCAATGCAGGATATTAAAAAAAAAAACAAAACACAGCTATGGTTCATGTCAGTCAATAATCTGATGTTGCTGTTTTTTTAGCTAAAGAAATTTAATATTAATGATATTTATTTTTTTACTCAAATAAAAATTCTTTAAAAAAAAAAGTACAAATGGCCAGTTGTAGCTAATGTATTAGTCCAAGAGAAATAAAAAGATCTTGGTGCTCAGTGTTTCCTAATTCTTAAAAACTATGGCAGAGTGCCAGTGTGGCTCTCCAGGGGTCGCTAATGGGATCTTCTTATGCAGTGGCGTCTTGTTAACCTCTCTATTTAATATTTTTATTTTGCTAAACACCTCCTTCCTGTAGCTCTGTTAAATGAAGATAAAAGTCATCGTTTTTCAGAGATTAAAATGACAAGTTTACCAGTATTCCCATCTCGGTGCGGCTCAGTTTCCTGCCCATACTGCTTGTTGGGCTTCATGTGCTCCGACAGAGTCCGACTGAACGTCCTTCTCCTCCGACGAAGACCACCAATCTTCCCAGAATCCCCTGCTGCTTGATTAATCTCTGCCTCCTCCTCCAGTAGTTCCATTTCTGTGTCACCACAAGGACACAAAAAATGTAAACACTGTGGATTAGAAGTTAGGGAATGCACACTTCCCTGTTTAATGCCAGTTGGAACAGTGGTGTCCCTCTGTAGTACTGACCCTTCTCTAACCATTTTACAAATTACGTACAAATAATGTTCGGATATAATAAACTGCAACAGGTCAAGGTAAAACGTAAAACAATGATGTTTTCTACTTACCAAGCTGACGGAAATAATCCTCTATGCCGCTCCAGGAGTTCTTAGTGATGAACGACTTGACCAGGCCCCACGGCTGCTTCTTGTATTTGACATCAGTGTAAACCCTAGTAGCACAACATCCCTTTAAAATACCAGGGCTAGAGAATATACACAGTTCATGACGTGGCTCCTTCAACACCGACCCTTACCTCAGTCGACACTTCCGTTTAGAACTCCTGGTGATGCAGTATCTGTTGTGAGTATAGAAGTAGTCGTGATAGGGGACGTCATGAGTGTAGACCTCGGCATCCACCAGATAGTACTGACCCTCCCTGGACTCTTTGTACAGAGTCTGAAATATAGATGGAGGACAGGAGAGCAGTGAGCCACCGTTCTGACAAAGATGAGTTTATTTTTCCACCGCAGCGTTCTAACACACCTGGTTCTCTGTGGCCCCAGAGAACTTCCCGATCAGGGGATTGTTTATTGTTATGGTGTAGTTCAGACTCCTCTCAGTGTTTCCTGAAGCGTCTTTTTGCCAAGGAGTGAAGCTTGCATCTGAAAACAGTAAATTATTATTGACCTTAAAGATCTTACAACCGGTGACAAACTTATCATCTGTTATGGATTTTGGGAGACGGCGTCTTACTGGTTATTTTCCTGACGTTCATAAACCTGCGGATGAAGGTGGAGTCGGAAAAAAGAAGCTCAAACATTTTACTGGCGCTGATGTGGAAGACTTTGTTCAGATAGACCCGACCCTGCACTTGGGACAGACCCACACGTTCCTCCACTGATCAAGAAAGAGCACAAGATGGAGACAAAGTTCAAATTTGACTCAAACTCATTCTGCATCTGCTTTAGAGTTCTAAGCTAAATGACACCAAAAAATTAGGTTAAAACTAATTCCCAGGACACACTAGGCCTTCAATCATCAATCTACCTTCTTCAACACTTTCTGAACCACTCTGTTCTGAAATGCCATTTTCATTGGCGTTGAGGTCGAGAGAAAGTGTAGAACGCTTCGACCCACGCTCTGGTGCGGCACGGTCCAGCAATGGAGCAGCACCCCGGCCCATTGATGGGGTGTTGTGAGAATCATCCTACAGAGAGGGGGCGTTACATGTTGAGCTATAACTATATATAATCATGCAGAACACACATGTTGATGGAGGAATAGAAAACTTTGTTACCGTGTTTGCTGAATTTTGTGATGCAGGAGAGGGCAAATCCTCCAGCTGAGGAGTGGAGGTCTCTAAGGGCGCATGATCAGCCACGGGAAGACGTAAAGATAGAGGGCGCTCTACTTTTCCCAGACCATCATCAGCATTAGGCTTTGCAGCCGGGCTGCAGAAAAATAAACAGATGGTGTCAAATACATTTTCATGTATTCTAATTGAGCATCAGATGAAGGAGCCAAGCACTCACCTAGTCTGCATGCTGTATTCTGCCGATATCTGCAAGCTCTCCATCTCCTCATGGCTCAGGCCCAGTTCATGCCCATAATGCTGTTTAACCATCTGCCAGAACTCCACACAGGTCAGAGGCTGAAAGTTGTAGAACTCAGACTTAGCCAGGAATGTGGGGATAGTACTTTTTACATACTTACATACTTTGACGCTTTAGTTGTGTATGTAACCAAGGCACCTGGGTTCACTAGGCAGGACAACTAACCTGCAAACCTCATTGTCTCAGTCAAGAGACAATGAGGTTCTCAATTTACTTTACAACAAGGGTTGGTTTTAACCCTTGGCTGTCAGCAGCAAATCAGCAGGAGACATGATATGAAAATATGACATGAAAATATGAGTACATTTAAATATACCTACAAGGTATGTAATAAATAAACTGTATGACATTCATTACTCACTGAATGTGTACAGTACAAAGTTGCAAACACATGTCAAACACTCCAGTGATACCAGTGTTTAAAATGGCTCGGGCCATTAGCCTTATATTTGACAACAGTAGTATTATATTATTATTACAATATTTTGGTGTTTTCGTGTTGTTTATTGAACTCCATAATACACTTAAAAAAACCTCTGTAAACCGTGATTCCATCTTACGGACGAGGCGGAAGTCACTTAGTTTGAAACTATACCAGAAAACCACAAAATGTCTCGATAAACATAAATACAATTCACCGAGTGTGGACGAACGACAAACTCAAACCGTGTCGAATCGAGCGTAATCGGGATGCGCCGTAAATCCGCTCCGTATTTAAATGAGCCCATACAACAGTGAAAAGACAAATGTTAACTCCGTTTAAAAAGGAACTTGGTGAAGACGCAGATAGCATCATGTTTTTCAAGCTCGACTTACTTTGGGCGCAGCTGTGACTTTTCTCTCGTTATGATCTTTAACCTAGGACGCGAATTTGTCTCCAACATCCAGGAAGTAGCGGATCTGCTCCAATCTTTCAGAGAAGCACCGCCGAGATTAAGAAGAGACGATTCCGTCTGTCGAAAGTTCGGCTACAGTCTGTTTCTTAAGTTTGTTTTGTTTTGCTGCGATCGGCCGGACGGTTTTCAGCGTCACAGCGTCGGTACAAGCGGAAGTTATCTGCCCTCAGTGTGTGCATCTGGAGGATCCGTCCTCCATGCAAATGAGGTCCCTACAGCCACACCTGCCGGGGTCAATGAACTTTAGACGGTGGTGTTTTCCACTGTTTGTGTTCTAGTTCCCCACAGACTAAGCCCCGAGGCCCTGCTGCCACAATAATGTCCATATTTAGATGAAGATAAATAAAGTGTGACGTCCAATACAGGGAAGAAAGCAGGGATTTATAGTCAAAAAACGAATGGTTAAAGCACTGGTGTCCAGCATAAGGTCCACGGGCTAGAAGGCCATCTCTAATTCAGTTTTTTTAAAAACAGGAAGAAAATCTTGATCTTTCGTTAACTACAAGTAATTTTTGCCTAGCGTTTGGTTCAAGTATTTTCAAATCTAATCTCTTGGAATTTTCGTACGTAGTATTTATAATCTTTTCATCAAATTTTAAGATCTGAAATAATTTCCAAATGTTCCTGGATGTCCTCATCGACAACAACACTGGACCCAAACCTTTGTTTTTTCAGCAGTTCTAAAAATCAAAAATATAGAATTTGTTTTCCAGATACCTAAATCCTAAAGTCTGATACACTGTGCTGTTTTATTTAGAAACATTGTCGTGTAAATGATACAATACAGCTCTCTCTATGTATTTCTACCTAATCCTTGATACATCTGTACGTTATTTTAAACACAGTACCTGAGTTTGTTGTTACCAGAAATAAAGTCCAGTCGTCTGTTGTATCCATGAGTAAAAGTAGAGCAGCACAGATGACCTCACACAATCGGACACACTGTGTCTAAGTAAATGTACTCTGGTCAGATCAGATAAGTTTTGCCATGTAGGGCAAAAGTCACAAACCTGCTAGTGTGTGTGTGTGTGTGTTTTACCTTGTTCAACAGTGTGTTTTGCCACATGCGAAAAATGGTCTGGTAACTTTTCTCTCTTGCAGAAAAGGAAGTGAAGAAGAACTGAGAATAAAAAAAATAAAATAGGGATCAAATATAAATATGTAAAAATAGTGAGTATGCCCACAAGAGCTTTTTTTTTTTTTTAACTCTGTCTCAATTTTTTTTTTGCACACTACAAACCTTCTCTGTGTTCATGTTGATCTGGATGGCATTGGGAATCCAGCGAGCAGTTTTTTCTTTGCTCACTGTCATGATGTCCTTCAAAGTCAGAGAAATCTGTGAAATAGGACAGAATGGTTGTATTGTCAAACCACAAACCCCGTGTGGCAAAACGCTTTTGCATAGTGTAGTGCACTGATTTCCAACCACATTACACAGGTGTGTCATGGAAAAGGATCTGCGCTTTTATTTACTGCAAATAATTTGTCTTTATCCGCCTATGAATCAGTGACTTGCAAAACAATTAAATACTCTTCCATTAGATGACAGCAGATGGCTATAGAAACCTTAAAATAAGTCCTTAAGTATCTCTTTCTTCAATTCCTGTCAGTATATTAGTGCCCATGTTTCAGACTGAGTAAACATTCTAACTAGAAGGTTATTATATTTCATAACTTTTTTTGTTTGTTTGTTTCGTGGTGCGCCATGGGTTTTTCTCTAATGTAAACTGTGTGCCGTGGCTCACAGAGGGTGAGAGGGTGAGAAGGAGGGATGTATATGAGATAAGATATACACAAATGCATTTTGTTTTCCATATTATTATATATTCCATACAATGACAAGGAGAAAGTGATGCCTAACCGTGCTCCTCCCAGTACGACATTACCTTGGTGCCCCGGAACACATTGCTGTAGAAACACAGCCACTTCTCTGACAGGTAGAGGCGTCCCTGAAGAAGAATGTCTCGCTGGAGGGCACATGGGTAGTCTGAGGGGTGGAAAAGAAAAATACATAGAGCTGTGGATGCAGTTGAGTCATACATACAAATGAGGTCTTATTTGACTAGAACCTTTTTTGAGACACTGCTGTAAACATGCTGTGTTGTTCCAGTTCAATGAAAGTACACACCAGATTAATTAGAATTTCATACTTTTGTGTTTATAAGAAGGATTAATTAGAAGAATTATGACAACTCCTTAATTGTACACAGGTTAAAAAAAGTGTCACTTTTCAAATTGAAAACACTATTATTTTCTCAACAAAAGATATTTGCCCTGACGTCTAATTAATACTGTCACCGGAGCCATTAGTTTAGCCAGCTCACAATAAAAATGTCATCCAACATCTGCTGCTAAACAAAAAGGGGGCAGCTACAAGGTGACGCTTAAAACTGGAATATCTAAAACCTGACAGGTTACAGCCGTGAATGATTAATGGGCTTTTCTTCTCCTCACCTTGAGAAACATTAGTTTATTTATTTGTGGAGCAGCAGGGTCAAATATGTATGACCAGATTTTGTGGAGGCGGTGAATAAATGAATGTTGTCTCCCTTCCAGAATCCCTGGATCCTGCTCTGAATTTGCTTCAGTGTTAACTTGACCTCGCTTACAATGCATTATGGTCATTATTTTTGTCTAACAAAAATGTATATATAAATATTAAAAATACCTACCTGCATAATTTATGGCTATGTAAAATTTAAAATGTGCACGGTGTGTACAAAACAGTTGTCTTCTATTTTAATAGTACACTAGAGACACTGGACCAGGCAGAGTTGGTGGTCAAAAAATATAAATAATAAATATATATGTATATATATATTCACATTTATGTATTTTTGTATGTTTACTATAGCTTGATTGTTGATTGACTAACTCGCTAACTGTAATGTGATGTACTTAAGGGGAAACCCAAAGACTAGACTCACCTACGACAAGTCTTTCCGTGTCAGGAAGTTCTTTGAACAACTTTTTGAACTCGTCGTACCTCTGTTTGTAGGTGGGCAGAGGAGTCTGTGGAGCAGCGAGACACTGTCCCTGAGGATCAGAGCTCTGGAAGACAAGGAGAAAGAGTAGGAGGAGGACATGACTAACACGGAGACATAGACACACAGCACTCATCTAATCCAGACTATCTTAACAAGAGAAACAAACAATGTGTGTGACAAATGTGTGTTTTCGTTCCACAGATTGACAAAAGTCTCCTCCCGTGAGTTTGAACAGATGACATAACATCATTAACCTCCCGGGCTTTCAGTAAAACAACAAATCCCCCATGAATGAGGCGAAAATTTGTGGATAAGGTTGCGCCACAAGAGGGCGTACATTGGGTTTTCTTAGATTCCAAAGACCGTCATTTGAGGTCTGTTGCATTGTTGTATTTCTTCTACTTTTCACGCAGGGACTTAATTTTTATGGTTGAAAGAGCAAGTCAAATGACTATGTAATGAAGGTTTATCCTAATTAAAATAAAAACTGCAGTTTGGGTAAAAGTGTGACGATTACAAAACATCAATGAGGATTATTAAATGTCAACACCAACCCACACATTTGATTTATTTTACCTCCTCTTCATCAGAGCTCCACGTCCTGTCATCCACTAAGGAAGTGGTGCCATCTGTGATGTCATCACTGCCCACAGCGGACCGGTTGGATAACTGGTCCATCTGTTCTGCTGCACTGCTCAGAAAAAAAGGGTTTTAAAATGACTTCAGTCTTTGTGCAAGGAGCAGGTTAAATGTCATCAAGCAGCACTGGGAAGTAGTTAGTGATGCAACAGAACTGGTTAAACTGGGATGGCAGCTCACTCAGGGAGTTCACTCTTATCAAACTTTTTTTAACTAATAACATCTTTAAAAACATGACGTTAGAAACAGGGAAACGTCGTCGAACTCCAAACAGAAACACCGTAGTGTGTGACCGGTTTTTTGTCCTAAATTATTAAATGTTCTGAGAGTTGATGTTGTTCATATCATGGATCTATCATACCTGCGAGTCTACGCGGATGTTTTGAACAAACATTGTAAGGTTACCATCTCTCACACACGAACACACACACACACACACGTCTCAAGCGTGCGTAAAACCACACACTTGAGACGTGTGCACGTGTAACCCACTCTAACGTGTCTCTACTTGTTACTATAATCCGAGTCAGAAAGTCCAAGTCGTCAGCCTCTTACCTGGCACTGAACGGACCCAGGGCTCCTGCGTGAAATGACGGTGTGCAGAGGAGGAAGGAGCGCTGCAGGTGCAGGTCACCAAACCGGGTGACAGACTTCACTTCCAGGGAGTTGTCGCCTGACTGGTGACGCTTGTTCGTCTCCGAGTAATTGGGTCAAGACTTCAGAAAGAGCTCGTTACCGGTCCTTTAACTAAGTGTGAACTCATTACAACCGTTTAGTCCCTGATTAAAACCTACTTAGTGGGATGAGTCATTATTTTAATTACATTTAAAATAATTCTAGCAAATAACTCTCTTCTAATAATTGTCTTTAAAAAATGTTAAAATGTGCAGTTACGTAAGCTACTAATGATGAAAACATTTTATATTCAATGAAAACGTTAGACAGTAAGCTGTAAAGCAAGAAATATAATATTTGAATTAAAGAAAAATTTAATTAAAAATTACTAAAGTGAACTGCTAAAAAGATACAGTTTTAACAAACGTTAGATTAGTCTAGCAGAAAGCTAACACCGTAATGGAGCCAAATAAATAAATACCTAAATGAATAGTATTCATATTAACAATTAAAACATTCAAGATTTAAAAAAAAACATTACAGTGAGCAGGACAGCATACAATTATATGCGGCGGAAGAAATCAGGTTTAAACGGGTTTTTAAAGAAAGATTAGCTGTTATCTTAAATTACATGTAGCTACGCTGAAATAGTTTAGGAAATACCTTCTACAATACCCCAGTATATATATAATATATATATATACAGGATATATAATATATATCGATAATAAAATACAATAAAATCTTGTTGAAAATTGAATTTAAATGTGGAACACGGTCAATTGTACACTTGACACAGTAGGTGGCAGTGATGCTCCTGAATAGAGACTTATAGGTTCGCGTAAGCGGAAAAGAAGAAGACAACAAGACACTACAAACATGAACAGATGCCGGGATATTTTGCGACTGTGATTCACGGGGAAATCACGGGTGAGTTTGAACTGGGGGTGATAGTGGTCGACCGGCAGGAAGCGTCTTGTGGGTGAGAGTGGAGAGAGGACGATGGAGAACACGCTTCACTCGCGGCAGCTATTAAAAGAGTAAAAAGTTGTTGTGCTGTTGGTTATTCTGGTTGGTTTTTTTAAAACTTTTTACAAAATAAACTTGAAAACATAAAACTTTCCCCCCTTTTTCTTAACCTAGACTATGCTCTTGACTTTGAGTTTGACTGACAATGCGTGCCCTAAAAGGCAATGAGACATCCCATTCATACTTTCCATTTTTTGCTCAATTACTGGAAATAAATGCAGACCACACAATATTCCAACAACTTTCTTTATTCTGGAAGGTTTAAAACAGTCTTAAGTCAAATACAGATCACAATGGCTAAAAAAGTGACTGTAAACAGGTCTGCGTAAAACCAACACCTGTGGATTATATGACCATCTGGGACGCAAATAATAATAATAATAAAAATACTCCACTGCCACCAAAAAAATGTTGCATCTCAATCTCAACACTATGAATAGCACGTTTCTGAAATACATTGGCAGCAGAAAAGCACTGCACATGGGCGCCTTCACACTATTAAAACAACTACGCGCTCCACGATTTCAGTGTGTGCGATTGATGCGAGTCAGCAGTTTGATTGACCACTCAGACTGTCAGCTACCGCCTCATCCACGCAGTGACCTGTCATTGCTATGGACCGCACTGATAGTCGTGCCCGTAGACAGCCAGGTACATAAAACAGTTTATTTTCAATTAAGCAGTGTAGAATGGAAAAGTAGGACAAAAACTCCAATTTGCATGACGCGGGTCAAAGGCTAAAATTGCTTTGCAACAGAACGTAATGCGGGACAGGTGGTCACTCTACCTCTGCTGAAAAGGTTGCCGACACCTGTCGTCATTGTTGGCGCCACAGTGTCTGCTCGGCTCTTTAACAATGTCTCAAGGCGCTTGGCAGCTACAGACGGTCAGTGCATTTTTGCATGATGACTGACGAAGTGAACTGGTCTTAGTTCTGTAGAATTCTGTAACATTGTTAAAGGGCTGACCTGACACTCAACCTGCAGTCCTCATGGTTTAAGTATAATGTCCATAGATAAAACTCGTAAGACTTTGTGATCATAAGAAGAGTCGGTGATTACACTGGATGACTGGCACGCTATTCGAAAAGAAATCAAAGAAAAGAACCAAAATCCAGATGGGGTGTTTAGTGGGGGACAAACCTCCCATTGATCTCTGAACATTGTCGCAAATGCATCGCTTTACCGATGTCTTCAAATAGTACGAGCAGACGCAAAGACGCACAAATTTGCGCACGTCCTCTGACAAATGACAGCCATGCAAAGAGACGTCCACGGTTCCCTACTGATGGTCCCTGCTGAAGGAGACTGTTTCGACGTGTGGCGTGACTACATGGACCTGAGCAGACTGCTGCAGGGCCTGCGCGTCAGGAACCAGGTGGAGCGCACGGACGGTGATGGACCGAAACAAGAAGAACTGATGTCACCATCACCTTTTTCATCCCTGTGGAGTCCCATCCGAGCTCCGTCACCTTCTCCAACTTCACCACATCCTCCTCCTCCTCCTCCTTCATTTTTTCAGACCGAATACAACAAACACTCTGAAGGCACCAGTTCATCCGACAACCTGTCTGATCACAGCTACAGCGCCTCCTCCGACTACTGTCGCTTCTGCAAACACAACCGCGAGTCTCCAAACGTTTACATGTCTCACAGATTGAAGGGCATGGACGGCAGAGTCACCTGTCCCATCCTGAGGAAGTACACCTGTGTCATCTGTGGAGCCAGCGGCGATTACGCACACACACGCCGCTACTGTCCACGGACGCAGCGGCGAGGGGCTAAGGCTGTGACGTCAAAGTTCAGTTTTTAGTAGATGGATGTTGATGATTTACCAATGTGTTTACATGATTAAGTTCGACATGTAGTTCTGCAAGTCATGTTTGTGACTGCCGTTTGAAAATGTCATTCGTTTTAAGGAGTTCTAACTGTATATATATATATTTGACCAAAACAAAAATAAAACACGAGTTAAGTCAAAGTTTTTTTTATCTATTCTCGTTTTATTGTAACAAAAAGAGCTGTTTTAGAAATGTCTTCTATTAGTTATATGCTGTATTCTTTAAAACGAACGTTAGCTTTGGTTAACAAATAACGATAAAATACTTATTCTTTCACAGTTAACAACAAAAGGCAGGTTTACATTTTTTCCAAGAAATGGCATAAAATTGATGATAACAAAGCATATAAAAGAAAAAAAAAGAAAATTCAGAATATGATCGACCATAAATTATCGCCTTCTTGTATTAATTAATTACTAAATTAATGATTAAATGATTTTTGATCATATATGGGTAAATTCTTAGTACAATATTTTGAAATACAATGAAAATTCTAATGCACTTGAACCTTTATTGATCAGGAGAAAAGTCCAAAGAACACATTCATTGCAATAATCTGTTCAACAGTGTGGGTGCGCTGTTGTCTTACTTTCCTTCTTACGGTACATTAGAGTTTGCAGGTGTTGGACGGACATGCTCTGGATTGTTTTCGTAATGTGGAAGTTAGTTGATGTAATCCAGGGTAAAGTCCTTGATAGGAACCTTGATATTCCTCCTGTGTTAATCTCTCCAGTACAATAGAACAATCCAGTGTCAGGACGGATTTTACTGGTAAAACAAAAGAACAAACCTCTGTTCTAAAAAGTCTTATGCATTTTTAACAACCACATTTGGTCACGTGTCAGTCTCCAGATTGATACAGTCATCTGTTTACAGTCGGCTGTATAGTTACGTCTCTTTTTCCACTGCTTTGCTTTGTTTGTTTTTCCTGAAGTGTGTAAGCGCACCATGTGAGTGGTGAAATACTGTAAGTGGACCTGTCCTTCATGTCAGGTTGTTTGGTAAGTCATTGAAGGGTTAGGCTCTTACCTGATGTGACCTGATAATGAACCTTGTTACTCAATATAACCAATGGGATAAGGTCTGAGCTCAGAAGAACAAAATTAATTGTGGTGATTTATCTCAGCTCGTTAACTTAAAGTAGTTTAATCGTAACAGAAAAACATACAAATATTACAAAAGCGCACATTTTAATCAAATTTTACTGATATTTTATTTCGTTTTTATTCATCAGTACATGGGATAATCTACTGATGACTCAGGTGGATACTCATTTTATACATAGTTATAAAACTTTCCAGGACTTGACCTATATGTTAAAGGGTGAAGTTGCTGTTCCCAGTTCTTTGAATGGCCTTTCTGAATTATTTTTTCTTTAACTCATAATATTTTTATTCTAATCAGGGCACAGTTGATGTTATCCCAGTAATTATTTCACTGCTGTTGTACATGTACAGCTGCATGTGACCAGTAAAAGTCCTGAGTCAAGGATCTCAGGTTTTATTCATTAATTCATGATTCATTTTTAAAAATGTAATGATATTGAAAAGGCCAAATGTGAGACTAATGTTGTGACTTTGAAGGGCACGTTGTCAAATATTGACAGTTTTTAGCCCTTTTACGATCCATAGAACTGTGAAACAAACTCATACCAGATAAGACTTACACGTGATTCTTGGAGCGGTTGTAAAACGTTCTGTTACACAACCTGCTTTTTATAAAACAGTGCAGACTTTTTGCTGTTCTGTCACTACTGACGTTCCAACTGATCACTGTAATCTCACAGGGAGGAGCGGTTAAAGGTATGTATGTTTTGATTTTATTTAAAGTTTTCAACGTGTGAACATTAGAAAAATATATTGTTTTAATATCAATAACAATTAAATCCAAGATTTTGAAAATAATGCTTTTATGAGAAAAGTGATTTTGATCTTCTTTGCTTTAAACCTTGTTAATTATTTTAAATTAGGCTAGTTATCAATGATTGTCTCATAGCTATTGATTTTCCAAGGGAATCATTTGGTCACATTACATACAAAAGAATGAACATTTTGGTTTCGGTTTAAACACTTTTTCCACATCACAGATTCAAAATGGGAGAACATGACTGTGGACGTCTCACTGTCATACTGATTTCTGTTGCCTGCTTTGTTACATCTTTGGTTTTTAATGCACTGGCAGTCATTGGTGGAGGTAAGTCACTGTTAATTAGTTTATCCATGTTCTTTCTTATCAATTTTTTTAATCAATAATCCCCAATAATTTGTCTGATTTCTCCCCCTAGAACCCTTTTCTACCACGACAGGCAATATCTCGGCTATATTTGACACTCAGATCACGCCCTCAGGATGGACGTTCAGCATCTGGAGTGTGATTTACATCTGGATCACGGCCATGACGATCTACATTGTCACGGGTCTTTGCAGAAAGTAATAGTTTAAATGCAATGAAAAGAATCAATCACCCTAAAAAATGTGATTTTTAACAAAAACATTTTTGAGACATCGTAGCTATTTTGTCATATGTAGCAAGTGATGTAGAATTTATTTTAAGAAGGTAGAAGCATAAATAATCAAATGGCTCATCAGAATCTCCTGTACCTTTTAGAAATGGTTATGGATACGTTTACTGCAGCCCTGCTGTGTTGCCTTATGGATTCTTTATTTGCTGGTGCATCAACATGGCTTTTAACATTGGTTGGCTGCTTGTTTGGGACAGAAGGTAAGAATTTAGATTGTATTTATGTATCACAGCTCTTGGAATGGAAAATGAAACACATTCCCCCTTTCTATTTTTTGTCTCTCATCCAGAATGATGATCATGGCTCTGGTGTTTCTTATTTTTGTCATTCTCACAAACTACTCCATGATCTGCTTCGTGTGTCATGGGCTTCATGTCTATGGAGCCTGGCTAAAGAAGTACCACAACGTAGAGCTGTGGTTGATCCGTGGGCTGGTCAGTGGAACAATGAATTTATTGTGTAACAAAGCTATTTAATTTATGTAAATGCAAGTATAGTTCACATTTGTTGTGTACTCACGTGGAATTGTGACACAGGGATTGTTCTTGGGGTCAGAGTGAACATAATTTGAACTGAAATGATTAGTGTCATTATTAATTAGTGCCCTAATACTGAGCATGTGTCTTTACTCTATGACACCACATGTACACATGTATGACACCACAGTAATCCTTTTATATTTTCAGGTTCAAAACGGTGTGATGATATACACCACGTGGACCACCCTTGCAACTCTCATAAACCTGACCATTGTTTTAACTTATGAGGTTGAGATGTCACCGGTGGACGCTGCCACTGTCTCATATTCTATTTTGTCAGCTGTCCTGCTTTTGTGGTGAGTAAGACATCACTTGAATAACACAACATGTCAGACCCATATGAAAGACTCTGAAATGAAAAGTGTGTGTGTGTGTGTGTGTGTGTAATCTTTCACAGGTTTCTTTTGGAAAATCTTGTCCTCGACAAACATGTGCGATACATGCTCACCACATACCCTGTTGTTATCTGGGCTTTATCTGGAAATTTGGACAAAAACTATAATCCTGCATCACCTAATATTAATGGCATCTTCATTGGTAACATTTTTGCTTCATATTTATTCAATAGAAGTGATTAAAATTGTAGTCACATTGTACAATGCTTTTTTTAATCCTCTCTTTTGTTATCCCTCAGTTGTGTTGTTGGGCATTGCCTCTGCGCTCTTTGTTGTGAGGATTATTTTGGTCATCTGGAGACACTTCAAACAGCCACTATATGACGATGTCAACCCTGAGGCCATGGAGCCAATGGATATTGCTGCAAACCAAAAGAAGATATTTTGCTAGTCAACATCATCAAGTCATCATTTAATATTTATTTACACATGTTTCACTTGTCATTGTTTTTAAATTACAATACCAAATGTGTATTTTGTAAATTTCTTAAATAAAAAATCTGAACTGTCAAATCCCTAAAAAGTCAGACCAAACTACCTTGTTACTTTTCTTGGCAACTTTTTCAAGGTTTTTCAACAGATAACTTATTTAATAGATTAGATTTGTAGAAGATTATAAGGAAACAGACTTTGGTATGAATAGCTTGTGGCTAAATTAATAAAATCTATATTTTGTGCCGCACTTCACTCCGTTCCACTAGATGGCAGTGTACACAATTACATTACCCCAGTTTCCACCGTCAAAAAAACAAAACAAACCGGAAGACAACTAGAGAAGCGGGATAATTGTAAACAGCGGTGTTGTCTTGCTATCGCTAACATTTAGTCACATGTGTTTAATGACTATTTGTAATTGTTCATTGATTATTACCACTCTTTAGTAATAAACAATTACAAAGAGTGCAACAAAAAAAGAGGGTGGCTCGCTGTTTGTTTCTATGACGTCGGAAATACTATACGTTACCAACAGTTAGTAGCTGGTAACAATAACAAACATGGAGAACCAAAACATCGTTCTGGTAAGTGGATAAATGCTTTGAATATACTTTGTTCATTTTGGGTAGGTGTTATGTCTAGGTGAAAGAGCATGATAGTTTGTTGTCTGTTAGCTGCGACTTGTAGCGGGTATTTCTCCGGACTCAATATTGAAATGAACGAAAATGAATTTAACACCGCAGCATTTTACTTAACCAAGGCCGGGAACCACGGGGTTGTTACGAAATTAAATTACTGATTATACTATTGTAATTTTGCAATGTTATTTATAAAATAATGCAACTGCGAGTGATTCAAGAAATGCTCAACATTTAGCTGAAGGACATCCCTGTGAATTTAACATTCAACATTCAACATTAACATTTGTCCACTGGTTTACTCCGCTAAACACTACCATCTCTGGTTTTGTTACAGTGATGTGATGGGTTTGTTTATTTTCTATCCATGAGATGGACCACCATTAGACCACCAAGTCTAGACATTTCTTTTCCTTGGCACTCCCACCAACTTCTACTGGGAGATGTGATTGTGCTCGTGTTAAAAAAAAAGATTGTGTCAAAACTCAGCGTTAACGTTTACAATACCTGTTTGCAGAGGCGGCCAAGGAAGAAACTGTGCTACCCCACAAAGAATAAAAGGTATGTTTAAACACAATACAAATGTTCTGTTAAGACAATAACAATATACAAGTTGCAAATAAATGTGATTGTTATGTAACAGCTTTTATACATATTAATTATACGGCTAACCTTGACCTTTGTCTTTTCCAGTGTGCCTGTATATTCAAACAGAACCGTAACATTGGATGATGTTGACAGAATGTTTGATGACATACGTAAGTTGTTTAATCGCTTTTCTTTTATTGGTATGACCCTTTTAGCACTTCAGGTTGGGTAACTCAAAAAATTTACAGTTTTTTTCTTTTTCTTTTTTTTCACAGATCCGCCTACCCCTGTCGATAGTCTGCTCACCACATTTACTCCTCACAAGGACTTTGATGCTGAGATACAGGACAGTGGTGGGACTTCACCAGTTTTAGAGATAACACCTGCTCCTAAGGTACCTTTTTAAGTCATTCAGAAAACCCTTTCAAAATAAAATATTGGGCTTTATCTGCATAGAGGTAACATAAGCTAGACTTTTACTTTCTGTTCTCTCACACATTTAACTTGATATATATTACTTGTATAATTTTATAATTGATATAACCACACAATTTGACAAGCATAAACCAATGAAAAAGGATGATTAAATCTGTTTCCATGCAGAATACTTGTACCAAGGAGAACATTGGCCTGTTCTCTCATCGTTTTCACCCTTGGTTTAAACAAAATGCACTGTCCCACTGCACTGTTGTAAATGTCAGGTTTCTGCAGCAATGACTAATTTAATGCAAAACATTAGATTCCAAAATGAAGCAACTTACACCTGTCTACGAAGTAAATAGGAATGTTGAAAGACATTTATAATGGGCAGATAATCTGTTAAAATCTGGTTATATACAGAACTTTTTGTTATTATTTAAAACACAATATTTGAGATAACTTCTGACTTTTTTTTCCTCTTTAAGGTCTCTGTAGAAGATCTCTTCATTTTGGAAACAGAGCCATCCACACACAAACTCTGCGCTGGTAAGATATTTGTCCTAAAAATTGTAGACAGTTACTATGTTGAACACAACACCTATTAACAGTTTTATTATGTGTGTTTGTTTTTTGCAGATTTTACAGTGCATAAACCAATTCAGACATCCAGTCCTAAAGAAAAAGAAGCTGTTCAACAGGAAGACAATGCCTGCAATATAGAAGAAAGGCTGACACTTAATCTACAGAAAGATCTGCTAAATAAGTATGTAAACAAGTGTGTTTTAGGAATAGTTGTAATAAAACACTGATTTTTTTTATTTGGCCGTACCATTTAAACCTGTTCCTTCACCAGTCACTCTGAGCTGCCCTCGGCTCCAAGCAAGTTGGCGTTAGGAAAACCAAAAGGAAAAGCCAAAAACCTGGTGGATAAATCATGGTATGGGCCTTCAAAAATATTCCTTATGAATTTTAATTGGTTTCCTGCAAGTACTTTATCTTTACTCAAACGTTTTGATAAAACCTCCAGTACAACTTCCTGCTGTACGGAAAGATTTACAAAAAAAATCTACTTCTTTCTCCTACCTCTGTGAGCACTAACTTATTGTTTCCCTTTTTTTTCTCAAACCCCAGTTTCAAAATAATCCTAGAAAAATAGGTCCAAAAGGAATAAAATGTTTTCACACAGTATTTTGTAGTGTCATGAAACATTTTGCTCTTAAGAAAAGAGAATATGGTTGCTCTGCGTTCTAACCTCTATCAAGATTTCTTTTTGGATTCTTAATTTGTTGTAACCTGTGTTTTTCAGCAGTAAAACAAACCGTACAGTAGAAGAAAAAACACAGGTGCCTGTTGTTGTTGGAAAAGACAAAAAAATAAGGTCAGTTGTGTTTTTTTGTGCGATTATCGTTTCTTTTCACTCCTGTGTGAATTTATCTTAATAAGTCTTAACTCTTCCTTTTATCAGGGAACAAAACACAACAGAACATGTTTCACCAGTGACACAGGAGTCTGAAGTTGATTCTCCAGAGGAGCAGTCAAAAAGTGTTTATAACAGTTCACTGGCATCAGCCTCCACAAGAGACTCGCGTGTTTTCCTGCAGAAGCTGAAAGTTGCAAGAGAGCTCAAACCTGCAACGTAAGTTGACGGCATTATTTTACCCATTGTCATAATTATATCTTAATGTTTCATGGTACTTGAACTAAAATCTTTGTTTTGTTCCAGGACACACATCAAAGTCCCTCCTCCACCTCCTCCTATTTCAGACCAAGAGGATGATTTCCTAATTTTAGAAGATGAAGTACCATACTATTTCACCATCCCAGGTAGTGCTACCATCTATGACAGACAGAAGCTGAATAAAGTTTCAAGTACGGAAAAAGTTAATTCACCTAAAAAAGGAACAAAGGCGCGTCCACAACTAACTTCACACAAAGAGAAGATGCCCGTTAAACAACAAATGAGGAGGAAGAACGTTAGGGAAAAGAAGACTGAAGTGACAGGGCCTGAAACTGTTGAAGAGGAGTTCTCCAGTCATGTTGATGCTCCTGCAGGGGACACAGGGGGGAACGAGGAACCAATCAAAAAGAAAAAAAACAAAAGGTTTTCATCAAATGTGAGTGACAAGCCAGAGGAGCAACACAAAGACACCGCCAGCAGAGAGACAAAAAGCAAAACTATTTCTCACCGAGGGAAAAATAAAATGTTATCCAAGGGATCAAAGTTTTCATCAAAGGAGTTTGAAGCAAGTGTCAAAAAAAGGAGGGTTAAGTCTTCAAAGGGAGCCGGGAGGACGAGGCCTGGATCTGGAGGTGAATTAGAGACTGAGTCTGGAGAGGTTGTGGAGGAGCAAGCTATAGATGAGTATCTGGATGTTGACATGCTTCCTGTTGCAGGTAATGATGACCATTTATGTTTAAACAGCCCCTAATCTGTATGTTTTTATAGGACAATAAAAGAAACTGATAATATTCTTATTATTCTTATTTAGCCCATGTTCAGTAGTTGCTTGTTCTTCAGAATTTAAAGCACATGCTAACTATATTTGCTTTTTAAATATACAAACTTTGCAATATTCTGTATTTATCAAACAGGTAAAAGAAAATTGTGTTTTCTGATCAACAGACGATGAGGTCATGGATTCAGTTCAACAGGTAAAAGTTTCAACAGCAAACATGGACCGACTCAACAATTCGCCAGTCGGCCCTGAAGAAAGTCCGACTCTCTATAAGCGGAAAAGAACTCGGAACGGCCCTGTGTGTTTGAGCTACTCAGACGACAACACAGAGGAATTCCAAGCTAGAGGCAACCCACGGACACTCAAGAAGTCCAAACTGCAGAGCAAAGAGTCAGACGCAACAGAACCTTCGCCTGTGCCAGTGGAGGACATTAAATCAAAGAAAATAAATCAGAAACAGACTGAGCTGTTCCCCAGTCACCGCATGGTGGATAGAAAGGGAAAAAAAACAAAAAAGAAAACTGCAAAAAATAACAAGAAAAACCAGAAGAAAGATGAAGATAAGCAGCAGCAGGAGTTCCTGGATCGAGACCCAGACTCTGTTGAGTCCAGTCCTTTGGTCTTTACACATAGTAACAACAGCTTTGTCTCAGGTGAGATCAGTGAGTGAAGAAATACTTTTATGCTGTTTTGTTTAAAAACATCTACAGCTACCTGAAATATGAGGAAAATATTATTTAAAATATTCTGCATTTGTCAAGCATATTTTAAGTGTTTGTTTCAGGATCTGCATTTGATTTTGTGTTTGAACAACAGCTCAACATGTCCACGCCTACATGCCTGAATGCTCTGACCTGCTGTATCGTGATTGGCTTGGTTTAGATATTTTTGGATGAACACGCTTTTAAATGACTAAACCAAGTGCATTTAGTGGATTATTGTTACATGTAAAGTAAATGTTCCTCTGTGTGATGTTTTCAGGTGACCACATATTTCCTAGAGTTTATCCTCCTGAGAAACCATCCTTCAGAGCAGCTCCAGTTTCTCCCAAAAGACATCCAGTCGAACTCATCACAGCAGATTTGGGAAAACGGAGGAGGAAACCTCCGGGTATGTGGTGGACAGTTAATAGTGAGTCTGAGGAACTGGAGACTGTCTCCTCACAACAGCAGCAGACGATGGACAAGAAGCCCAGACCTGTTAAGGAAAGAACAAGAAAACAAGAAAAAAAGAACAAGAAAAAACCAAGCAGACCGCAAGCCCAGACCTGTTAAGGAAAGAACAAAAAAACAAGAAAAAAAGAACAAGAACAAGAAAAAACCAAGCAGACGGTCTGGACCTCAAACCCCCCCAAAAATCAGCACGCCAGTCCGGCTGCAATCACCAGAGGGAGCTCACGTGTCTCTTCTTAAACAGAAGACCAAGTCTGCATCAAGGACAATCAAACGTACAATGGCCAAATTCAAAGATATTTTCACATCCATGCCAGAGACGTCAGGCATAAGCAGCAGAAGAGAAGCAGAACAGAATGATGGAAGTTCTGTTACTGTCACTGGAAATCACACCCAAATGGAAAAAGAGTTCCTGAGCACAGATGCCACAGAAATAAAGAGCACACTTGTCAGCCCCATTCAGCTAGAAGATCCTCAGGACAGCAGGTGTCAACCAGGGGATGTGTAAGAAAGCATTTCATTATCCTTATATATATACACACACACACACACACATACACTTATAAATGACTGTGTCTGTTGATGTTGTGGTTTCATTTGTTGTTGTTATTCATGGCAGGTCTAAGGGCATTAGAAGCGGACCATCATCTTTAATTGTGCTGCAGAGTTTTGAAAAGAACGACGACACAGGTGGACTGAAACTAAAACCTTTTCAGTTTCTCTTATTCTCTGTTCTGTATTATAATGTATGTATATATATATATATATATATATATATACATATATACATATATTGTTTTTTGTTTGTTTTATGGATGTATTGTTGCAGGCGTAGCTTCTGCCGGTGAACGCGCTGTGTTGTGTGTGTCAGACATCTGTGCTCCGCCTCTCAAACCGATCGTCTTACAGCCAAAGGACAGAGCCACTCTGACGAATTGGTTTAAAAACCTCTGGTCTTCAACAGTACACGGTAAGAACTTTTGGCTGGATTTTTTTTCTTTTAAGGAAGGGCAACAAATAAAACTGAAATAAATAGTACACATGTTTTCGTACATCACAAAGTCTATGTAGTTACTGTACTCCCCAGTTGGAACTGAGGAAGCCTCTTCACTGAGAGGCGAAACTTCTAGAGAAAATTTCATGTCCAGTTGCCTAACAGAACTCTTCAACCTTGACTTGGGTGACTGAGAATCTTCATTTGCACTGTAACACAATAACAACTATTTTAAAGCTATGTGCAGGAGAACTATTTTCTGTACAGAAAATACTATTGATCCTAAATCTAACCACATTGAGTGAGAGATTTATTTATTTATTTAAATATTAACCATGTGGACCTTTGAATGCAGACCTCATAACAATTGCTGGAGTTTAGTAAAATCTTAAATCACTGAATGACCTTGTTTGTGTTGTTTAATTCCTTAGACGGTGTTGAGATCACTGCAGACGACTTCGACTGGTTCTTCTATCAGGGCAGTGCCATGGGCCTCCAGGTGGATCTGAACTCTGGCTCCATCTGTAATGGGAAGATCCTGCTGGGCTCATACACCAAGAAGCCTCTGTGGGTGGACCACAGTGCCACAACAGTCAGTACCAAAAAACTCATTTCTGTGCTTTGTCCTTCACATTTATTTATTTTTGCATCAAAATGTGTTTATATTTGCAAATGCTGCCATACACCTGCAGTAAATTGATTGTTTTGACTTATTTTTCTTTTAAAAGGTTTTTAACTTGTTAACAAGCTCTGTGACCGTAACAATTGATGGCAGCAAGTCCCAAGTCAGTGCGGGGCAATCCTTCATGGTGCAGTGTGGTAAGAATTTGTCAATATGTTCAAATGCTGTGCAATTGTTTGTATTTGAAAAATATCATGGTCTCTCCTTAATCCAGTGATGTCAGTCTTTCTGCAGGGCAACCCGTTTATAGTGATGACATTTGTGAAGGCCACATTCACAGCTTTTACTTTCTATCAACCTCATTTTAAACACTTTATTTCATGCAGAACTGCTGGGCTCATTGACCAGTTTTAGTGTTCAGATTTGATTTGTTATGTCTTACCCAGACTCCCTTCAATGCCGTCTGCTCTCCTCCAGGGGGCGATCACTATTCACTTTGGAAACCACTGCCGTAAGCTTTGTGTGAAACCTGTAGACAGGCGGTTAAAATGCGTTCATATTTTTCGGGGCAGTCACGAACTGCCTCTTTTTAAGTCACACGCGGCCTGCAGAGGGCACTGCAGACCCTGTCAGGACCCTAGTCATGTTTAAAAATGGAAAAATCTCCCCTCACAAAAACTTAGTGAAAGTGAAAACTTGCTCTGTGGAAGCATGTCATAGTTCTTCTCTTGTGTTCATGCAGGACGTGCCTACAGCTTGCAGAACAACAGTACTCAGCCTGCCATCCTCTACTTCACCAGGATTTTAGCAGAAAGTCCAGACTGAAGTCCTTCCCTGGACATTTTAAACTGCATTCTGTCCTGGTTCTGGACATGTTGGACATGAACTTTGTATATAAGCTAACTTTTAATCCATTTTGTTTTTACATCAGCTGTAAATAGAAGAACAATGTGGTAGACAAAGAACTACAAAGTGCTGTGTTAATAAATGTTGGCATTTCTTCATATATTATGCATTTCTTTGACCGTTTCCTCCAATTATAATGTTATGCTTTAAGCCAACGAGGGACAGTGTATACAACACAAGTCTGTATTGTAGAGAACATTTACTAATTTCTGAAATCCTTTGATAATTCATATGAATGAAAATGAACCTCACACGATGGAATCCCACTTCTGCTGCCTACATGGTAGAAAAGAAAATTATTATAATGAAAAACCTTCATTAGGTAACACAAAAACAAAGTACACTATGTATCCTAATTAGATTAAAGCTTTGAACCCCTCGGGGGCTCCAATGAGAAGATAGAAACTGACATGGTTTCATTGCAACAAATTCAAAATCAATTGTTGACAGAAATAGACCCAATGAGGACTAAAAATAGGATGGACTTTGTTCAAAAAACTCCTTTGAGGATTTACAAGTTGTACATACCACTAACCAGAAAAGTTCAGGTGTGCACCAGAAAGTTTTCGACGTGTAATCCACTCTCTGTGGATTTTGTGTACATCCACTTATACCCACGGAGCTGGTCAGATGTTGATGCTGGTCAGATGCAGCTGTTGTTTTCAATATATAAATATACCAAAGAAACACAGGCAAGATAACTGTTATAATTTAAATCCTAGAATATTTTCACCACTTCAAGATAAAAAAGAATACTTGGTACTAAACAGTGTTTTATTATGCAGGTTTAACTGCATTTTTAAAGACACTACTGTACAATTATTTTGGTGCAGAAAGAACACATGGTCCAGGAGAGGTCATGAAACATTAAGAGTGTCTTTATTAAGACTGAACTGTATCTCAGTGGTGTTTTCCTACGCCCCACACTCATGACTATTTGATGAAACTGATAGTGTCGTGAAAACAAGGCCCTTGGGACTTTAGCCTGATATTTTCACCTTGTCCCTGTGCATTAGCTCCTGCTTTGCTATTGGCCACATTTATTACTCCTGTATTAAACAATCGATCTGTTTTTGTGAGCCCCAAAAGTTCCATCACTGCCAGGATGACTGGAATTAAAACAAAATCAATGTCAGTGAGTGGTAGAAGGAAATGCTGAGTTGTTCTCCACGGCAGGAGTTCTCAGCTCAGTCTAACACTTTTATCATTTATCACTGTTGAATGTGGACCTTTAGCTGTGATGCTGCTGCAGGCTGACTCACCTCAGGGCAGTGTCTGCTTTAACATGGTGAATTATACTGCTGCAGTGACAGCAACAACCGCACATGTCAGCAGAGGCCTCACTTAAATACAGGTGAATTACTGCCTACTGTTAACAAAACTGTCAGAGCCACACCATTAGCCACCAGCCACGCTTTCAGTAAATTAAGTGACTGTTTGGAATGTGTACCACCAATATTATCACCAAAAGTTAAATGGTGATGTGGCAAAACACTAGCATTTTGAGCATGTTAGTAGTTCCTGTAGGTTTGCCTTGTGCCTCCTGCTGTCTGTGTTTGCAAAAGAACAACTCTTCTGTGCTTGACCTTATTTCAACTCTTTGACTTGAACATTGGGACAGATTTAATGGGCGAGACATCCAATAAATAATTACTGAGATCTGATAAGGTCAACACTTAACATAAAAGTTCTTACATTTCCGTAGTGTATCATATCTAACAACACCAAAGGTGAGACAAAACACCTGAAACAACACTGACTCATTTAAACCACCAGAGACACAGCTCTTACCTCACCGCTCCCACCACTCATCATCGATTGTTTCCTCCGACACCTCACAATGTGACGTTTTAATGACTGATGGTTCACTCCTGAAGGAAGGAAGATTTCTCCTGTGGTGGAAATAAAAACTGAACATGACTCAGCTGCAGCAGGACAGGAGGGGCTGCACCGCCGTAAACCTCATTTACAGATACTGTAGAATGTTTTTTCTTTTTACAGTGACTGCTTCTCTTGTTTACTTCCTGTTGTTATATATGTTATATATGCGTTAGTGTGAGTGAATTGATGATAATAAATCAACTTTCCAGTGAGGCTGTCCAAGTGAGACTCCACCTCACTGAATAACTGGATAAAACATTTATAGATTTGGAAATGTTCTGCAGAGGTGTTGGAAGTGAATTTGTTCTAGTTCAACTCTGCCAATGTTGACATTCCTCCACAACAAATTCTACTCTTTACATCCTGAGTTACAGCATCAGGAAGACCCATTACAGAAACCTGGCAGCAAGTGGGCTCCTTGAATGCCCACAGAATATTTATTAGTCTGTATTTACCTTTGTTGAGCTCCGGCTCTGTCTGTTCATACAAAGCCTATACAGCTTGTGTGATTAGTCTCTCCTGGAACTGCCTTAAAGCATTGAGCCCGATTTCCTTCCTTTGTTAGAGTTGGCTCTGAACATAAGTCTGAGGCAACACGTTCACTGACAAGTACAGAGTGCAAATAACAAACTGTTATTGTTACTGTTATTACTGTTAACAAACTGTACACCGCTGTTGTTGAGGACTCCACAGTTTGCTGCGCTGTGAATCATCCTGCGTCCGCCCAGAAATTCTTTCTGGTTGAGGATATTGAAGCTAAATAGTGTCTTGGTTTTTACTGTGGATTTCTCCCCACAGTGGCACTGTTGATAAGAGAGGGTCATTAGAGGCTTTCAGTGTTTTATGTCCAAGACATCGGTGCAGCTTTTAAGAAGCAGAACTAAGAAACTAAAGTGATGCATTAAGGACAGACTTTTTTACTTTCTGGACAATTTGTACTTACAGAACTGGACATGTCCATTACTGCACTGATGAGAGGATTTGACTGCTCATAGAAGAGGGCTGTGGTTTGCACTACCACTGCTTTAAGAACAGGACTATTGTTTTGCTGCTGAAACAAAGGAAATCCAATTAAAATCAGTGGAATTCTCCAACTGTGTCATGTGGGACCCCAACCACAACAACTCTGTGCCCCCTAGAGGTGTTAAATGGTAATGCTATAGGAAACCACTAAAACAGCAGTGGGTTTATGGAACACTGAAGAACATTACTCTTCCTTAACACTGTGATTGACAGCTGGAATGGGCCAATAAGAGCCTTGTTGTGTTAGACGTCTCCATTAAAATCATGTATCTCCAGATTCAAAAGTAATTTTTGGATTGGATTGGATTGGAAGTAATTTTTGGATTTGGATTTTTGGATTTTGGATTGGATGCCTATATCTTTTTCCTAATTATTGTTTCTAGGATGGTTGAATATGAGTAAAAGTGACAGTAATTAACATTAACTTAACATGCTTGTAAACCTGCACATCTCTCAAGCGTTAAGATATTAACGTGTAATTGGAAAAGTCATTGTGGTATAATAGTCTCTTCCTGCACCACTTTAATTTTCAAACCCATTTAGATGTTTGAGTTAAATAACTCCTGGTGTCTCCTACTGCACAACCCTCAATCCCACAACCTGATCCCATCACGTCCATCAACCATCTTTCTCATTAATTGAGTCCGTGTCGCCTGAGCCCACCCCCCCACCCCCGCCCTTCCTCGTTACGAGCGCTGTATGATTAAACACAGAAAGAGCTCTCAGAGGAAAAACACTGATGTCTTTGATTTATGTCAGGCTCCAGTTCACCTTGAGAATGGGACACAATCATATAAGAAATGATAGAGCGCAGTCCAGGGGAACCCTGGGAACTGAGAGGTGCACCGCACGTCCGTTGAGAGGAAAATCCGTGATTAAAAAAATGAAGCCATGTGTGTTTTATTTTCATCTGGGCGTCATTTTAAAATGTGAAACACTTTATACATTCAGGATGAATCACCGTAGTAGAAATGATCCAACACTAAAGCGCCACCTGTTGTTTCTGAGACAGAACAGATACAAAATGGTAAACCAGGGCGGATGGAATTTTTCTGGAATTGATTGAAGTGTAAAACGTCAACACAGCTCTCTTTAACTACCACTTTTACAACAAAAAAATCTATAAATATAAATAACTTTTTGAGAGAGCCATAATCAGAAAATCAAGCTGTGTGTGTGTCTGTGTGTGTTTCCTACTGGATTAAACTCATCCACGTGGGTGTAGCATTTTTTTCTCTCCCTGTGACAAGAACACAAACAGACACACAGCCCTGGGACTTAGACGTGAAACAGCATCACTGATGTGTTCCGCTGCCGTGGTTCTGCTGAGATCTATGGGACTTCGGTCCAACCAAACGGATTGAGTGCAACGTTTCAGAAAAATCACAGAATTTAGTTCTGCTCAGGTGGAATCCAGCTTCAACCTTTCAAGGTTGATCTTAGTCTGGGATGTCACTGAGCTGCACATCAGCCCCCGGTCCTGCTCCTCCCGGCTCTGCTGGTGCAGAAAACCAGCTAATACTCCCATGTCTCCTTTAAATATGCTGCAAATCCGTCTTAACGCACCTTTCTATCTTTAAAGTTAGGTTCTTGCATAAAGTCTAAATATCTTTTTTTGACTGACTGAGCTTCTAGCTTCAGAGTAGGAATTTAACAATTTCCTCCCAGATGTGTAATTTCACACTTTTAAACCTTGTCTTACTGCATCACAAGGTCTTATATAACATAGTTAAAAACAAATACTTTACTTTCTCTCAGATATTTCATATAAAGTATGTATAGGCGCAGGACTTTTATAAACATTTAGCGCCGTCAGACATTCTTGTTTGTGTCTCCTGCGATGGTAACATGTCTCACGCAGCTTTGTCTTGGAATCTCAAATATATGGCTGTATACGTTACTGGTTACATTCATTGTACGATTACATTTTCTTTAAAAAATATATACAGGTTAAGAAATAAAAAAAAGTTTTAAAATAAGTTGTTAACCTTTAGTGGCAACAATATTTGCAGGCAGACAGCAAATGAATACAAGGACTTGATTAATTTTCATTCCATGACGCAGAAAAGGTTTCCTTGAGCAGAATTGTCACCTTTCATTCATCAGTTACTCTCTTTTGATACGTCACACGCAAGTTTTAGCAAAGAATGTTTTTTTATATTTCATTTTATTTGCTGAACCTTCAACTAAACTGAAGTTCACAGACTGAAAAAAAAACCCCACCCCACACATACAGTAGCTGGTACCGAGCCTGAGTAATGAAGTATACAATTCAATCTCAGTGAATTAGAGAGGTATTTTTCTCTCTCTCAAAAACACAACAAGAATAAACTTGATAATGGTAAACATGATACAGTTTTCTGTCTGAGGATACAAATGGTTTCTCTTTGTTTCTATCATTTACATCAAGTGCAGTGTTGGCAAATGGAGCTGTTGTATCTCAGGAGAAACGGATGCATCAGTGCTTTTCTCAAGGACACTGTTTACACATTTGGACAGGATTCGCTTTGATGGAATTACCAAACCGTATCAGTCTAATTGCTATTTCCATAGCAGATCAAAGGAACTGCTTTTAGAAACCAGAACTGTTCATTAGGGTTTTTTTTTCAAAGATATAAATCTTTAATTTTAAATTTTCAAATATAAACTACTCACACAGGACTTTAAAGTTGTCATTTAAATACATTTAAATTTACACAAATTGATAAGAAAGTATTCAGAATTAGACCTTAGAAATATTTGGGTTCTAATTTTAAGAAGTTTCATTAAGCAGTGTTTAATAGCTTTGGTATTGCAAAAATGTAGTATGAAAATATAACAAAAATATTTATAATTTACAAACGTTATCCCTGTTGTTTTCCCTGGACCATATGGTCATCTACCGTCTGCATGAAGTTTCTTTTTCAACCCAGTTTTTGAATGATGAAGGACACTTAAGTTATTAACCCAACAGATATTAGCATGTGTTCAAGTCCAGTGATGTGATTGGCCGTTCACAGAAATGTCAACACTATCACACATTATCATACATCCTACAGACACTATCACACATTATCATACATCCTATAGCTCATAGAAGTAGATTCATAAGTTTCACAGAAATGTCAACACTATCACACATCATACATCCTACAGCTCATTAGCACACAGACATAGAAGTCTGTGTGCTAAGTCTCATAGAAGTAGATTTATAGGTTGTAGTTATGGCCTAAAGCCCCAGTGACTTCTTTGTACGACTCACACCACCGTGACCTCAAACATTTTTTATTCTCTCTACAGCGTCTGAAACAGCAGGGCAGAACCAGAGCTCGTTCACAGAACCTCCCAGCTGGGCCGACTGCCCTCAGCTGTAGGTGTAACTGATGGATGGACTGAGCAGCAGCTGCTGATCTAATCAGCACAGGTGACTGCAGTATATGCTGATTAACAGAGAAACAGAAACGTGTGAAACGGCAGAGGATTTTTGAACAATCCCAGTGTTAGTTTGCAGCATGTTTGTGATTCTTGTCTTACTTTTATTTACCACGTCCACCACTGCACAGTGACACCTGAAATCACAGGTACGTTTCATTTTTATTTTCCAACTGTATCACTCTGATCAGGGTTATTCCAAGTTACGTTTGACCACATTTTGTCTTCAGGAACCTTCAGGCCAAAGTGCAGGTGGAATAAAGGGTTTTTTTGTGTGCACATTTCATAGTAGATAAATGTAATAGTGATTTAAAGATAATACATCTGAGTTTAAAAACCGATCAACCTCCTGATGTCACATGTTTCACCCGTTGCATCATTTTGTCTTATTTATCGGTGTCATGCTGAATTGTAGTCCTTTGAATGTTCGATCTTCTGCTCCCTCTGGCAGCACCACTCTGACAGTGTTTCACTTTTTCTACATCAAGTTTCACCATTTTCACTTTGGATTTCTGTCTCTTCAAATATTTCCGTCCTCTTTCATGTATGAGATGCTTCCTCCAAATTCAGACCCGGCCTGTATTTGAAGGAGGATTTAAATGGGAAATCAGAAC